CTAGAAAGAACTCTGACAGCACCTGGGGTGGGGGGATGAAAGATGGGCTAGAAAGAACTCTGACAGCACCTGGGGTGGGGGTGGGGGTGGGGGGATGAAAGATGGGCTACCAATGGGAACCAATAAAACTAAGCCCGAATGCTCAGCAGAAACTATGCAGGCAAGAAGGCAATGGAATATATAAAACTCTAAAAGAAAAAAATAATAACCAGCAAAATTGTCTCCAAATCCAACAGTGTAATTAGGGCATTTCCAGATAAACTAAAATGAAAGGAATTTGTAAAAGCCCAAACAATTTATTTAAGAAATAGTAAGGGAAGTTCTTCTGACAGAGAACCAGATCAACCTTACAGAAATAGTAAGAGGGGAGAGGGGGGTGTGAAAAAGAGGAGCTGATGTCAAAGGGCTCAATAAGAAAGATAATTTACATATAACCCCCTCCCAGGGGGACAAACAACAGAAAAGTTGGTGAAGGGAGACAGTGGTCAGTGTTATACATGAAAAACAAAAATTTATAAATTATCAACTGTTCGTGAGGGAGGGCGGGTAGGGGAGGCAGGAAAATGAGCTGATATCAAGGGCTCAAGTAGAAAGAAAATGTTTTTTAAATGATGACAACATATGTACAAATGTACTTGACAGTCGAGTAGATATATGTAAGGATTTTGAGAAGAGCTGTAAGAACTCTCAATAAAATGATTGAAAAATACAGAAAGATAATATTTATAAATTGTTGATGTCAACAGTTGTACATGTCCATTTGATATAATGGATGTATGGATTGTTGCATAGCATATAAGAGCCCCCAATAAAATCATTTACTATTTTAAGAAAAAAGAAGGAAATAGGGGAGTTCTTAGGATAAAGGACAGTCACAATAGACTGAAAGTAATACATGTAAAAGCACTGTCCAGAAACCAAGCCAGATATACAAGTATTCAAAGTAAAACAAACCACAGACTCAAAGCAGGGAACCAAAGATATCGGTGTGTCCTGAAGGCAATTACAACAGATAGGGAACAGCAGGTACAGAACTTTGAAATGGAAGGAAGTCAAGTAGCAGTCAAGATTGAACAGGCTGTTTTAAACTCTAGAAGAAACCAGTAAATTACAGGATAGCTTCAAGGAAAATGAATAAATTTTATCAAAATGACAGAGGAAAATCTTGGTAGGCCCTAAAATAATAGCGGCGATGAAAGTGACAACACCCGTGCGCAAAATGACCTCAGCACAGAAAAGTGCGTTTTGCTCATTGAAAACAGTCACAAAGGGACAGATTTGTCTGAGCTGGAGAGTATTGTGCTGCATTTGTGGGGGGGTTTTATGCAGCTGTGGGACTCCAAATTCAGTTGGTGTAATAGTACCCTGTGAAAGCAGGTGGGGTCAGTAAGTAGAAACATCTTTGTAGGGAGGGTGGTAACTGTACACGTTAGTTTCATGGATGGACTGTTTGGGTTTTATGAATCAGTAAACTCAAGCAACAATAACTTAAGTCTTTGAAGTAAATTCTGAAATCCGTGAGGCTGTTGATAAGGGAGAATTGTTTTCTTTATTTGTCAGGGGGGAAAAGGGCTATAAGATAAATAAAATATTTCATTTCAGCCTCCAATGAGCTTATAATGAATGTAGCAAGACGTTTTCTGTGACATTGCTGACCTCACCATAGCTCTGTGAAAGTACACATGAGAAAAATGTGGGGAAACGTGCCCGATGGGATCAAAGGCGTGAGTGCCGTGACGTGTTGAAGAGTGGGGTAGATGGCCGAGGAGGCAGCAGAGAGGTGGCTGTCCGAAGTCCCTCACTCATCGTGACTCCTTGGTCTGCGCGTTCATGAATGTTTGCTGAGTCAGGAGCTAGCACACAGGAGCGCTGTAAATACGGCGTCTTCTGTATTGTTGAGGGAAATCGACACTGTAATTGACAGCAGCAGCATGCTCATTTTCTCTTTCCGTTGCGTCTGTGTCCGTCTCCATGTCACTAGGCGAGTGCCATTCTGCCGTCATTCAAGCAGTAGAAGATTTGGATCTGTCAAAGGTTCTTCCTTTGGGTCGTCAGCATGGAATCTTAAATAGCCTTGAAATAGTGTTGAAGAACATCAGTCATCTAATCAGTGCATACTTACCAAAAATTTTACAGATACTGCTCTGTATGACTGCCACGGTGTCACACATCCTTGACCAACGAGAACAGGTAAGCTTCCCCGTGGCTGCTCTCGGGCTAATCTCAGTATGATGATCACTTGGGAATTGGGCTGGGGCCTGATTTACTAATATCTCTCCAGGTTAACAGGAGAAAGGTGAGGCTTTCTATTCTCATACAGAGCTATAGTCTTAAAAACTCACTGGGGCAGTTCTACCCTGTCCTATATAGGATTGCTATGAGTCGGCATTGATTCAATGGCAGTGAGTAGGTTTCCAGGTTAAAGCCTTTGAAAACATTTCTTTAAAACAAGCTTCCATAATAACGGGGGATCGTCATTGTAATAGGTATTTATGTACGGCAAATACTGAAAACGGGGTAGGAGTGTAGGTTAATTCTATGTTTTATGCTATTCCCTAGCCAAATCCATGGGTGCTTGAGCTGATGTTTCTTAAACTCTAATTCCAAGATCTCGGGGTATAGGCTACCTTCCAACTCTCTTTCATCCGAGAATGGATAGAGAATGAACAGTACAGTGTTACCATCATCTTTGTGATTTTGAGACAGTGACTTCGGAGCTCCTTCAAGGGCAAATGCTTGGCTACCACAAGTGTAAAGTTCTGAGTGATAACCAGCAAGACCAGGCAAGGCCACCCAGCTGGCCACCTGTGAAGAGACTTCACCAGGTGGTACTGGGAAATATTTCTTAAATTATATCAAAATGTGTATAGACTCGGTTGAGACAAGGTATGTGGATGTAAGTGCACTCTCTTGAGGTTTAGAGGAGATTAACATCTTTAAAGACTGATGGCTTCTTAGAGAAAGTGGGACTTGAAGTCAAGATCCGGGTTCTTAATTTCTACCAATGACTCCCACTCAGCTAATGACAAATAGGCAGTTTTCACTTGGCCAAAATTCACTTCATTTGATTTATGCATATGCCCAGTGAACTGCCTCTCAGATGTGGTCCATTAGCATGAAGACCGCCAGCTAAACCGGCGTGCCACTTTTTTGACATTTGCATGGATGTAAGTGTGTGCTTTGTCAATGAAATAATAGTCTCTGATCACCAAGATCCAGAGCTTTAGAACATACTCCCCATTTTGGTTGGCACTGCTTTCTTTTTCTCATTCTTTCATGCATTCCTGCAAAAAATATTACTTGAGTTCCTACTATGTGTCAAACACTATTCTGGAAACTGCAGGTCAGCAGTGACCCCAACAACAATTCCTGTCTGTTCATTCATTCAGCAACTACTACTGAGCACACAGTGTGTGCCAGACATTGTCCTTGGTAGGGGTTGAGACCCGCAAGGACTCACTATCACGGGGAGAAAAATAGTAAGTGAATACAAATGAGTGCAATCATTTCCAATGGCCATACGTTCTGAGAGGAAATTATATTGGGAGCTCTCTGGAGATTGCTAACCCATTTCTGCAGATTCTCAATGCCATCTCCTCATCTCAGGGCGATTGATGGGCTCTGTGCCGCTTTCTCCTGACACTATGTCCTGAAAACTTGCCCAGCGGTAAGCTGTGGAAGAGGTGGGGCTCACCTCGCTGGTTTCTCCTCTCTGGATCACTGCCCTCTGCAGCACTGTGTACAATTCTCTGAAAATGGTCTTTGCGTGTATTTTGTTGTTAGTTGCTGAAGAGAGGAGTATAGATCTGGTCTTAGTTATTCCATTTTGACTGGAAACGAACCCCCCAAAATCTGCCATACAGGATCAGGCGGTACAGTCCTCAGACAACGACACAGGCTGAGAGTGGTTTGTGTTCATAACAGAGTAGACAGCCAAACTCACTGCAAAGAGTCAAAGCCAACTTAGAGCAGCCCTAGAGGCCAGAGTGGAACTGCCCCTGTGAGTTTCCCAGACTGGACGGGAGTAGAAAGCCCAATCATGGAGAAAGCTGGTGGTTTCAAACTGCTGACCCTGCAGGTTGCAGCCTACCACATAACCACAATGCTACCAGGACTCCTTGAGTAGACAGCCAGAGAGGTGGGAAAAACAGTGCCATCAAGCCAGTTCTCCCTTGTGGTGACCCCTTGTATGTCTGAATAGAACTCTGTTCCATAGGATTGTCAGTGACTGGTTTTTAAGATTTGTTTCCAGGCCTTTCTCAAGGTACTGCTGCATGGACTAGAATTTCCAACCTTGCACTTAGCAGCCTAATGCGTTATCAATTTGCATCTCTAAGAGAATTGCTATCATTAAGTCAATTCTGATAACAACCCTATGAACAGGGTAGAAGTAGTCCATCGGTTTCCAAGGCTGTAAATTTTTACAAGAGTAGAAAACCTCATTTTTCTTCTGTAGAGGGGCTGGTGGAGTTGAATCGCCAATGTTGTGGTTAACTGCCCAGCTCTTAACCCACTACTTCACCAGGACTCCTTATTGCTTTACTGATAAAGCCAAATTTGCCCTAGGATAAAGGCTGCTCTGGTTCTACACTTTTTTCCCAAGTAAATACACTGTATCCCAAAACAAAGCTTTATGTGATTTAAGTGAAAAGAATAAAGTTAAGCAGTATCTGGCATCCAGTCAAATAATGGGAGGGGGAAAAATTGACCCATAATTAGAAGAAAAACCAATAGAAATAGCACAGATGATAGGTAAAAATACTTAAAAAGCTATTCTAAATATACTTCTTGTGATCAGGAAAGTGTAAGTAATGTTTAGAGAGACGTAGGAAATACAAAATATTTTAATGAAGTGATGTGGTAGTGGCCAGGAGGGCGATGGAGAGTGGCAGCTCTTACCAGGGCCCTCTGGTCAGGGTCCTCTCAGAGGACGTGCTAATTGAGTTGTGCTTGCATCTACCCTCTGAATTTTGTTTAACCCAGAAGTTACTCAGTAGCACAGTTTTACTCCCAGGTCAGTAATCGCTAACTCAAAAGATCATTTATATAATTTCACAGTTCATTAGTGAGTGAGGTGTTAAGCTTGCTGACAGATAGGAGCTGTTTTTTTGTGGGTTTTTTTTAATTCTTAAGTAAGTTCAAGGAATTCTTTGAGGTGTTGTCATGAATTATTGCACAATTATATTGCTTAAGTGAGTTAAAGTTGTACACGTATGTGTTTGAACCAAGTTATCCATTGACTTTTCCTCTCTTTTTTTCTTTTTTAAAAAACCATCTTATTGGGAGTTAATACAGATATAATATCATTCCATACTTCAGTCACATCAAGCAGTATTGTACAATTGCCATGACAGTCAGTTTCAAAACATTATTTTCCTTCCTGAACTCATTGACCTCAGCCTCCTTTTACGTGCCCCCCCAACATCACTGTACACCACCCCCACCCCCAATAAACCCTTAATCTGTTTTCCTTTTGTTTTCCCTCCTCTGTATTTCATAGCGTTGATTGACACTGAGATAGGTATAGTTAAGATTGACCTGCTTTTGCTGTTGTGTGTTTGTGTGTTGTGTTTTTTGGTACATGTGAATAAGATGAAGGAGCCCTAGCCACCTTGAAAGCCTTTGGAGGTCGTTTAACTAAGTCTGATGAGTTGGCATCTACTCAAAGGCAGTGGATTTATTTTATTTTATTTAGTTTTAAGCAACAAGGGTAGATTCACAAATAGCAACTCCTCTAGGAAGGAAAAACGAAAACCAAGCTCACGCCATCGAGTCACTACTGACTCATAGTGACCCCCTGTGCTCTCCCAGATTGCAACAATTGACGGGAGTAGAAATCCCAGTCTGTCTCCTGGGGAGCTGCTGGTGGTGGTATTGAACTGCCTACCATGTGGATCACAGCCTAGCATATAACCACTACACCACCAGGGTTCCTCCTAGGAAATCAAGGTTTCTACAGTTACCCATTTTCAGAGATTTTCTCCAGTTTACTCACCAACCGTAACCTGGGCACGGGACTACCAAAATGAAATGTGTAGAGCCTTCCAGAATGGACAGTGAGCTGGTCAGAGAGTGTGGTCTTTGATCTCGTGTTTGGTGATGGCAGTTTGCTTGCAGGGTTCATGATCCCTTGTTCCCAGATACCAGGTAAGTCATGGTCTGTCATCAGAGGGATGCAGCTGAGAATGACATGCCAGTAGAACCGAAGTACAGTGGAGAGACCTGCAGCTATGTCACCTTGTGCTTGCCTGTCATTTCTGCTGTCTTTGCAACTGTATAATGAGGTTAACTAGCTAACAAGTCAGTGGTAGGAAGTCGATGTGAGTCTGCGGGCTAGCATGATTCCTCAGGCTGCCACAATAAAATTGTGGCATCCTTGTTCATATTTGTTTGCATTGGCAATGTCTTGTTTCAGATTCTAAGACCACTTTTTCTATCTGAGTATCCAATTTTCATGACAAGTCACTGGAATCATATTGGCTTTCTTCTCAGCGTCTCAGCTAGGAAACTTGTTATTCACTATATGTATTATAGAGTTAGTGTTCTCGTCATTAATTTGAAGGTGGGTTTAGATTTTAATGGAGTTAATAAAGGTCAGGTGTAAAAACGTTTTTTATAATCCTCAAACGTGTGTGTGTGTGTGTGTATCATATGCAAAAATAAGTCGCCAAGTTTATCAATCAACCTCAAACCAAGCCCACTGCCATTCAAGTGACTATATTGGGTGTCCAAAAGGGTAGCACTTTACAGGAGCAAACAGCCTCATCTTTCTACCAAGATATTAACAGGGCTGGGGGAGAGCAAGGGCCTTCATCTTCTCTCCTTTTGTAAAATTCTTGTGTTTGTTACAAACACAAGACCTACGCCTCTCCATCCTTTAAGGTCCTGTGGAAATTCTGCCTCTTCCATGAGGCTTTGACCTCAAGTTTCCAGTGACCCCTCACTCAGCAACTTGCTCTAGTACTTTATCATCGATCACATAATTTTAGACATTTTCCTTCAGTTAGATTTTCAGGACTATTGATAGGGGACATTGAACCTATTGATGGGGGAATCAATAAATGATTTCATAACTCAGAGGAAAGGAAATGTCAGAAGTGGCATTATGTCTCCAGATTTTTTCAAAGTATGCTGCTAATTCAGATGTCCCGTTTATGCGTGTGCCCACAAACACAGACTTCTATTTCTTCTGCCACGTTGGACTACAGGTAATATCTGGGTTATGAATGTGTTTCCTTCCTAATTCTGTCTTGAAATTTTGATTTATGTATATGTCAGAAGAATTAGGTACAATTTCAACAATGTATCTAACATCAGTTAAATATCTCTCTCAGTATATTTGTATCTTTTTATGCATCCCAAAACAAAACTCACTATCAAATCTATTCTGACCCAGTGGCCTTTCAGGGTTTCCAAGCCTGTAAATCTTTACAGAGCAGCTGGTGGGTTCTAGCCGCTAACCTTGTGATTTCCTGTGCCACCAGAGCTCGTCAATGACATTAAAGAAATACTTCTGGATACGCTAAACCATAGATTCCCAAATTTATTTGGCCTACTTCTCCTTTTTCAAGGGGAAAAAAAAATTACCCATACACACAGGCATTTAGAAACTCTTGCCTCGTAGCCCGTAATCCAAGATAAAGTATTGGTATCTGCTTTTGCAGCCCCAAACCTGCATGCCCGGGGGTCAGTAGTGTCTACTTTGGGAACCACTGCACTAAAACTTCTCTTTTTTTTTAAACTTTCCATGTTACTTTATTCAGTTGGCCAGCTTCATTCTATTTCCATTTTTAAGCAAAAAGCATTTATTTTATTATCTTTTTTTTATGATTAATTGGGATTTGATACATATATAATTCCATATTTCAATCACATCAAGTAGAATTGTACAATTGCTGACAAAGTTTTAACTGTTCATGTCAGATTTATGCCTTTATTCTTCTGTACTCCACTCTCCCAAGCACTCTGTTTAGTGATCTCTTTCTTCCCATCCCACAATTTTAGACAGGGGGAGTTCTCCAGAGGCTTATTTCCTATGTAGGTCCACAAATGACTCTTGGGCTCCCACTGTCATCCATCGCCGTCTGCACACTGTGTTCTCACAGGACAGTGATGTTTCGGTACTGGTCACAACGTTGTGCATTGTATATACCTCCAGTTTTTAATATAATAGGTTTTACAGGAATCAGTTCATAACTAGAGGTGGTAAGTTGAATGTTCGTAACCCAGGGGTTGTCTGTATATATGTTAAGATTTTTCTGTGCCTTAATTAAAAGTCTTGGAGTCACTGTGAGCTATGCTTTGGACTGGTAATGTCAAGTTTGGTGGTTCAAATCCTCCAGCTGCTCCATTGGAGAAAGAGGGTGTCTGCTTTCATAAAGATTTAGTGTAAGAAACAAATTTAAACAACAACAATATATAATTGAATAGCAGTAATAATATATAATTGCTCAAGTATTCATGAGGGTGGGGAGTGGGGGAGAGGAGCTGATACCAAGGGCTCAAGTAGAAAGAAAATGTTTTGGAAATGTTGATGGCAACATATGTACGAGTGTGTGTAATACAATTGAAGGATGGATTGTCACAAAATTTGTAAGAGCCCCCCCCTAATAAAATGATTAATAATAAAAATAATTAAAACTATTTAGTCTTGGAAACCCTAGGCTTGCTCTCAGTTGGAATCAACTCAGTGGCAGTGGTTTGAGTTTGGGACTCATTAAATGTGAATTGAAATTGGCTCCATGTTAGTAGATTTTGGCTATCAGTTAACTGCATAAATTATTCCTCTATGTAGAAAGATCCTAAGTCATTTAGTCTAGACTAGTTTGAACAGGAATGAAAGTGAGTTGCATTTTGAATCAAGGCTGCACATGTGTGTATTTCTCCCCTAGTCTACGGCCTTCCAATGGCAAAAGGTTTTATTTTAGTTAGAATCTTTTCTGAGGAAAGAACAGGACTCTATCTGATTAGTTGACAGTTATTTGAGTAACAATGTGAAATAATGTGGACTATAAAACAGCTGCTCCTACTGTGGGCTAGCTTTTCCCTGAGGGCACTGCTGTGACTTTATACTAGACATTGATAATGAGATACCTCACATTTTATTGCCCACCACCACCACTCCCCCCAAGTCTCCACTCTCCGTGCTTAAGGAGAAAAGCCAGAGTTCTCTAGAGAATCAGAGCCAATGTCAACAGATTTAATCAAAGAAATTCCCATCAGGTTCTTAGGCAGCTGAACAAGAGTGCTCCCTGAGGAGGTAGGGGCAGAAAATGATGTTTTTTGAGTACAGGATCTTTGTTTTTTAGATACAACTGAGGTTTATTAATCCGCTGAAAAATTTGAGACGTCTTGGGATCAAAATGGTGACTGATATCTTTTTGGATTGGGAGTCCTATCCATTCAGAACAGAAGAAATTGATGCTGTGTTTCATGGTGCCGTTTGGCCCCAGGTAAACCTTGATCTCTCTGTTCTTTTTGCTCATATACCTTCAGCTTCTTTAATGTTGTTTTATTCTTTATTTTTAATTCTCCACCACAACTAAGTGGACCACTCAGACATGACTGTTTTCATCTTTTCTTTTACATCAAGCTCCCTTTATTTCTGGACATTTTAGAAGATCTTTGTTTACTTCTGTTGTTGGTGTTAGATGCTGTTAAGTCGATTTGACTCATACCAACCCCATGTCCATAAGGTTTTCTGGTGTGAGAATGGTAACATCCGACCTCCTCTGACATCACAGGGGGAAGAAGAAATCAAACTCACCAGTCCAAGGCCAATTCCTGTGAGGTGGATTCAGATGACTTTACCAATTGCTGCCCCTCCCCCAGCCCCCGGCACACTTCTTCTGTACAGGGTTCCATACTTCATTGCAAGGCCAAACTCAGATGACACAACTAGGGGTGTATTAGGAAAGTTAACAGGTTACAATTCAGGTTCACAAATGCTCCAGACACAGTTCTTCAGTCAGGATAGACTCTTCCCAACCATTCCTGGACAGCAGTCCTCTTTCTGGTCCTCAGCCTCTCAGCCAAGCATCCCCTTGGACTCTTTTAGCTTCACTGTTAAGTGCCCAAAGGACACACATGGCGTTCTACCATAAGCCTCAGCCAAAGACACTCAGCTCTGGTTCTGTGTGTCAGCAAAACCTAGCTCCCCCAATTAAGGCCTGGAGGTATCACACTCTGCATGTGAGCCTCCTGTTCCAAGGCATTCCGCTCTACTTGCTCAATGGAACAGAAGCCCACGCACTGATTTCATGCTATGAGTCTCGCTTCTGTTGCTGCCACTCCTCTCTGCTGCTCTGGAGTCACACACAGGGGTCTTGAGATTCAAAGGACATGCTCCAATACTGGCTCTTCTTTCTTTCTTCTATCTCTGTCTGAGATGGCTCATTTTATACCCTACAAGATGGCAAAATGACAGCCCTCCTATTAGAGCAAATATTCACAATTACAATTAGTGACCGTTAGCAATCACTCACAACTGAATCATATAATCTTATCAGCATCTTCTTTTCCTTCCACACCCCCACTTTTATTAAATGGACACATCAGGAAAAGAGGACATGTAGTTACTCTGCCTGGTCCCACCCAGTTGCTTGGTGTGAGTGGAGAGAAAACTGGCTAGAAGAACCATATCAAGGAAATCCCTGTAGATATTCAGGCTTAATCTTTACAGGATCAGGTGATCCTTAGTCTTTTGCCTGTGAAGCCACTGGTTGTGTTTGAACCACTAACCCTTCAGCTAACAACTGAAAACTTAAGTGTGGTGCCACCAGGACTTCCGTCTTTGCCACTACTGCCCCTAATTTCCGCAGTGTCTAGCATTTACACTCAGGGATCATTTGGTTTTGTTTCAAGCAAATGTAGCAATTTTTGTAGCACCTGACATAGTGAGCGCCAGGCCTTCGAGAAGCTGGTATTGTTACTTGTTGGGTTTCTCAGTGGTGACTACTCTGGTGGTGAAAATAGACGTATACAGCCAGAAGACAGTAGGAAAGGCTTATGTTTTTGCATAGATTCTTTCTGGTGCCAGTTACTTCTGGCACTTGACACCTAAATGGGTTCTTCCGTGTCTTCCTTCCCAGTGCCCAGCACTTTGTGGACCATCTTTGTCATTTGTCCTGTGTGTGTGTTTTATTTTGAATTCCTTAATTTTTTGTCTGCGTGCCCTCTAAATGTCCAACTCTGCCTTTCAGCATGGTCTCTGGGCCTAGTTCTGCATTTTAGTTGTTTTGAGAAAAATTTTTCCATACAGTTTTGTCGATGTTTTTATTTTGTGCTGTTTTATGTGTCTCCCAGATCACCAGGCTTGGATCTGAGAGCCAGTATTCTCCTACTCCTTTGCTGAAGCTCATTAGTGTCTGGAGCAGAAATGCAAGGTATAACCTTTTTTTTATTTCCTCTCAAAAAGGTGTTTAAAATAAATTTACATAAAACTAGTCTGTTGTTGGTTTCAACTCCTAGTGGCCCCAGGTGACAGAACTGTCCCATAGGGTTTTCTAGACTGCCAGATCTCTTTTCCATGGAGATCCTTTTTTGATGGATTCAAACAGCCCACTTTGTGATTAGCAGCCAAGTGTTTAATCATTCTACCATGAACCCAAAACCCAATGCCATCGAATTGATTTCAACTCATAGCAACCCTACTTAGAGTTTCTGTAACTAGACCTTTACAGGAGTCGACAGCCTCATCTTACTCGTGAGAAGGAGCTGGTGGGTTTGAACTGCCAACATTGGGGTGATCAGCCCAGCACCTAACCAACAGTGGCATATAATATAATTTAAAGTCTTCTCATATGGTAAAGTACTTCAAGTGTAGTTAAAAGAACACTGCGGCTAAATGAAGGCATGGGAAGATCTCAGAAGATGTGATTTAAAGGCACAGGGCATTGTTGGTGCCATCCTGACAGCCATCTTATATAGAAATAAGCAGCCACTGTGTCGATCATTTCTACAGAAAAGTGCAGGTTGCCAAACAATATATGTAATGTGATGCGTTAAAGCATTGTGTGTGTTTGAAGTACAATAGAATAAGGCTTGAAAGATAATATGAGTAACTCCTGACAGTTAAGCCTTGGGGGTGGGCCAGTAGGGAATGGAAAACTTCATGGTGTACCTTTGCAAGTATTTAAATTATTTATAGCATTCATGATATATTACTTAAAAATAAATGGTCAAAATAAAATTTTGCTGCTTAGTATAAGTTAAAGTTGTATATCATGCCAGAGTGAGTATATTTTTGTTATTTTTCCAGTTTCATTAAAATGCACAGGTTTAGAAATATTGGGATAAGAAGGGTGTTGTTAACATTTAATGGTATTAGGTAAAGACTTAGCAGATCATGAACCACTCAAAAGAGGAGTACATGTAAAGATTTGTAGTCAGCAAATCCAAGGACAAGGGAGGGAACAACAAGTGATCAAAAATCAATGGCGAGGAGGACGTAAGATGCCTGGTGGGATTTGATCAAGTGCAATGTAACCGAGAGGAGTTACTGAAAGCAGAATAAAAATCGAATATGATAGTGGGACAAGAGGAAGGTAAAAGTAAATAGAGGAAAGAACTAGGCAGTAAGGGACCAATAATGAGAGTAGTGATACCTGGAGGGTGGGGGTAAGGTGGGGGGAGAGAGGGGAAACTGATCACAATGTTCAACATATTATCTCCCCACCCCCCCAGGGACAAACAACAGAAAAGTGGGTGAAGGGAGACAGTGTGGGACTTAAGATAGGAAAATAATAATAATTTATACTTTATCAAGGGTTCATGAGGATGGGGGAAGGAGGGGAGAAAAATGAACCCTGGCACCAAGGGATCAAGGAGAAAGAAAATATTTTGAAAATGATGAGGGCAGCATATGTATAAAAGTGCCTGACACAAAGAATGGATATATGGATTGTGATAGGAACTGTAAAGGCCCCCAAATTCTTTGAGAAAATCACCATCCTGAGTTGATCTCTGACTTGAATTTACTGGGTTGGCAGATCCCTTCCCAAGCTACTTTTGATTGGGACTTGCTTTTGAAGGCACCTGTGAGACTGAGGAGTATATGCCTGGGAGGATTTGTGAAGTCATTCACTGATCCCAGAAACACATTTTATTTGGAATAAACCCACGCAGTTGGGAACCAGAACCCTAGTAGCAATACTTTTTGACTTGCCCTGATGTAAACTCTGAGCACATTTCAATACACATCCACTGCTATGGGAATTTCAATAGAAGTCAACCCTTCTTCCAGGTGAGCATTAAAACATGCCTCAAAGTTAAAACACGGTTCCAGTGCCTGCCGTGTCTGCGGTGATGTGGCTGCCAACTTCCCCTAACCAAAATCAAGCAATGTGAGGAAGAGAATGAGTGGGTGTCCAAGGATGTGGCTGTATACCTTAAGTTAAAAATAAGACAAAGCAAAACCCATCTGTCTACTTGATTCTGACTTGATTTCCACTCAATCCAATCCCTGACACAGTTCAATCTCTCTCTTGGAACATTAAAAATATTGACCATAGATCAGCCCTACCTGCATTTGTACAAATACAAGTAAAATGCTAGATCTCTGTGTAGATGAAGGATATGTGTTTATATTTGATTGGCACTGTCTGAGACTAAGAAAGTCTCAAAATAATAGAAATAGTCTCAAAATTACTATGAAATAGTAGAAACCTTCATGAAACAAAAAGGTACAAAGGCACAGTGATTGCTTTTTTATAATATACCCCATCGGGGTGGATACACATGGGAAGGTGGTGCTGCCACTTTTCTTCACTGAAGAAATTGGTGGCCATAGATTTCCACCACATCAAAATGGTAGTCTTGGCATCCCTAGGGGACATAAATCATGTTCCTTTTAAATATTCCTTGAGTTTGGCATACAAAGAAAAGTCAAAAGGGGCAATAATCAGGATTGTAAGGTAGATGGGGTAATTTTCCCAATGGAATTCTCATAGAAAAGGGCTTGCTATCCTCAAAGAACAAGCAAGTGCCTTGTGGTGAGAAAAAAGGAGAAATTCTGCAGTACAACTTTCCTGGCTTTTTTCTCACCAGTATAATTTCTGAAAATGTCTTCATACAAGCCCCTTTGGAAATAGAGGAAAGAAGTAGGAGGCAAAGGACAGTTATAGAGGTCTAAGTACAGGCATGTACAGATGTCAGTATATTTATATATATGGATAGGGAAATAGATCTATGTGCATATACTTATATGTTAAGTATTAAGGCAACAGACAGACAGTGGGCCTCTATTCAAGTATTCCCTCAACACAAGAACACTTCATTCTAATCTGGCATTCTGTGATGCTCACCTTCCTGAAATGCTTGCTGAAGACAAAATGGGTGCATAAGCAAATGTGAAGAAAGCGGATGGTGCGTGGCTATCAAAAAATATAGCATCTGGGGTCTTAAAGGCCTGAAGATAAACAGGCAGCCATCTAGCTCAGAAGCAACAAACCCCAAATGGAAGAAGCACACCAGCCTGTGTGATCATGAGGTATCAGGTGAACTCAGGACAAGAAATACTTGAGAGTGATCCTATAATATAGTATCCAAACTCTAATACTCTGGAGCCTGTAACGAGACATTATAAATAGTTGCCAGGGCGAGCACTATGCACTAGAGCTGGACCAGGTTACTCTTTCAAAAGATACTCTTCTTCTTCGACCCTACATGGTCTCTCTGCTTCTCCTACTCCTGCAAGGAATGCACTGTGATGTCAAATTGTTCAAGAAATTGTTGATAGGCCACCTTGGGGTTACAATTGATTTGAATGAGCCTTTTGCAATGATTTTGGCAGCAGTTGAAAGCAGCTTTCACATGCCTAAGACCTGAAAATATTTAGATAACGTACAACATAGCACAGCCTCAGAAGCCACACTCACCTAGCTTCAAATCCTAGCACTTCTGTGTGTTCTTTGGCAATGTTGGCCTCTAAGTATCATCACCTGCAAGATGGAAATAATAAGAGGACGTGCCTCATTGAAATCAGAGATGCTGTATATAAACTGTCTTGTTCGGGCCTGCCATCAACCCAACCCAAACACTACCATCAAGTGGATTCCAGCCCACAGTGCCTCTAATCCATAATAGAACTGTCCCCACAAAGTTTCCCACAGTGTAAGTTTTGGTGGAAGCTGACTGCCGCAGCTGTCTCCCTTGCAGCAGCTGGGAAGTTCCAACCGCTGACCTTTTGGGCCGCAGCTGAGTTCTTGAGCCACTGTGCTACCTGGGCTCTGGAGCCTGCGTATACACATTTGCCTAAAAACCAGCACACAGCAACATGGGAACGAGAGTACAGGCCAAACATTGTGTCCAGCTAGGCAACATTCAGAGATAGGGATCACTTGTCATGGGAGTTATGGATCCATTCCCAATCCCATTCCCTGAGACTTACACAAAAGGTACAGATGCCCTGCCTAGCAATAATATGCCAACAAAGGCAGGCAACACAGGTTTTGCCAGCCAAGAGCAAAGCAGCATTTGCTTTGCTTTAATGCTAACAATTCTTTAGGAGGGATAAACTGGAAAACCTCAGAGTGTGGTCGGTTGTGATCATACCTTTCTGCCCAAGGAATCTGAGGAATAGTATGGGCAGAGGACCTTGAGTGGCACAGGGAGTTTGTGCCCAGCTGATAAGTGAAAGGTTGGCGGTTTGAACCTAGTGACACCTGGCAATGCAGGAAACTGGAGGTCTGTTCCCTATAATGCACAGGGTCTCCATGAGTCGGAACTGGCACGGCAGCAAGGACCTTGGCTTTGGCCTTGCTCCCAGGTGCTGTGTTCTGTTTGCTAAGGTTGAGGTTCTGCATCTAATATGCACTCACTGTTAACAAAGGCTTCATAGTTACATGGATAAAGCACTGTCCTTCCAGACAAGGCTTCTCTGGAAAGAACTCTCAATAGGAAAAGTCTGAAAGGTGTAGATGAAGAGTTTTCACTTTTTTTTATTATATGTTTATAATAAAAGGCTAGCATTGTTCAGGTCTAACCTGAAAATTATTTTCATTACTGAGTCTCATATGAAATGTTATAAAGCATCCAATTCAGTATAGACTGTTCCTTTGACAGTGAGGAAAAGAAACAAGCAGATACACAGTCATTTTGTATGCCAATATTCAACCCAGCCATGTCCATTCTAAACCCAGCAACCTCATCCTAAAAAACTTAGCACTAAAATAATAGTAATAAATTTTTTTAAAATAAAAGGCTTAGCCTATCTTTGAATACTTGCTTTTAGGAAGGGCTTAGACTATAGAGTTTGACTTGATTCAAATCTCAGCTCAACCTCTTCTTAGCTCTATGTCTTAAAGTTTGCTCATCGTCATGTGGGAATAATGGCACTACTTCAAAGAGATGTTATGAAGATTAAACAAGTGTGCATGAAGTGCCTAAATGTAATATTTATAAGATACTCAGAAGTAGTATATGTCACATATTCCTTATTAAAGTATTGCCCCATTTATAGAGGTCTAAATAAAGGCATGTACATATATAAATATATTTATATATGAAGATGGGGAAATAGATTTATGTGCATATATTTATAGGTTTAGTATTAAGGTAGCAGATGGACATTGGGTCTTTACTCAAGTACTCTCTCAATGCAAGAATACTTTGTTCTATTAAACTGGCATTCCATGATGTTCACCTTCCCGACACAATCGCTGAAGACAAAGCAGGTGCCTAAGCAAATGTGGTGAAGAAAGCTGATGGAGCCTGGCTATCAAAAGATATAACGTCTAGGGTCTTAAAGACTTCCAGGGAAACAAGCGGCCATCTAGCTCAGAAGCAACAAAGCCCACATGGAAGAAACACAACAGCCTATGTGATCATATCATTGTGAATGAGGAGGAGTGGGGACCCAAAGCCCATCTGTAGGTAACTGGACATCCCCTTACAGAAGGGTTGCAGGGAGGAGACTAGCCAGTCAGGGTGCAGTGTAGCAATGATGAAACATACAACTTTCCTCTAGTTCCTAAATTCTTCCTTCCCACCTCCCGCCCCCACTATCATGATCCCAATTCTACCTTACAAATCTGGCTAGACCAGAGGATGTACACTGGTACAGATAGGAGCTGGAAACACAGGGAATCCAGGACAGATAATCCCTTCAGGACCAGTGGTGAGTGTGGCGATACCTGGAGGGTGGGGTAGAAAGGGGGAACCGATTACAGGGATCTACATATAACCTCCTCCCTGGGGGATGGACAACAGAAAAGTAGGTGAAGGGAGACGATAAATTATCAAGGATTCGAGAGGAAGGGGAAAAAAACAAGCTGATGCCAGGGGCTTAGGTGGAGAGCAAATGCTTTAAGAATGATGAGGGTAATGAATATACAAATGTGCTTTATACAATTGATGTATGTATGGATTATGATAAGAGTTGTATGAGCCCCCAGTAAAATGATTGAAAAAAATTAATGAAATATTGCCCCTTGGAATGATCGGTGATTTATTGTTTGTGTGCACGTGCATATGTGTGTACATATATGAGGAATGCTTCAAAAAGGTAGTGAAAAAATTCTATTGTCTCTTAGCTCCATTTTCCCACAAATTTTTTGAAGCACCCTCACATATGCGTACACACCAGTCCTTAAATACAGTGAAACTTGTGTGAGCCAGAACTGGATGGGGTGGCCTTGTTCTGTTTCCGATGTTTTCCATCTTTAACAGGACCTCGGCACTTTCTCCCGCTCATTTTAGTGGGAAATACTTGAGTTTTCCCTCCTTCTCTGACAGGTTTCCAACTCTCACCGGTTCTACTGTAGACATTCAAACACATATTTGCATACACGTGTGTTTTGCGCCCAGCATAAAAATTAATAAGGAACGTTTTCAAAAAGAAATATATTGAGCAAAATGAGATGATTGTCTTCTTGTTTTTCTTGCAGATATTTTCCTTTTCTGGCTAAACAGAAACCGGGGCACCCTGAGTGTGATATTTTGACCAATGTTTTTGCAATTCTCTCAGCAAAGAATCTGTCCGAAGCCACAGCCAGTATTGTGATGGAAATAGTTGATGACCTTCTGAACCTTTCAGATTTTGAGCCCACAGAACTAGTCCAGAGCTTGCCAGTGACCGGCTGTGTCTACCCCAATATAGCAGAAAATGCAGATGGTATGTGTACTGGACAAAGCGGGGGAGAATGGCTTCTGAGGTAGCTGCTTTCGTTCAGAAGGAAAAGGTCACCAGAATCGGGCTTTTCTCAGCCTGTGCTCATCCATCTGTCTTCTTGGGAACTTGATAGTAATTTATATGAACTGAACCCTCTGCAGTACTGGGAACTGCTCGCGGGGGTGGGGGGTGGGGGTGGGGTGTCCCCAGGGGGTTCCCCGTGATTTCCACAGTTACGTCCTTAAAGTCGTCTGTCCATACTGTGTCAGCATTGCCTTTCCTGTTACCCAAATGGGCTGAAAGAAAGCTTTGTGGGGTCTCTCTTGTACAGTCTTAATTAACCTAGTGATACAGCTATCTCGAGTAAGGAGAAAATAACTGAATTTTTAGACTTGAAATTCCAATGACATTTTCATAGTAGTTGGGTGCTTTTGGGGGGGTGTTATAAAGATAGAATTATGCTTTACGAGAGTAGTTTATTAAAATCAAAACATCAATCACTGTCTATTTCAGAGTCTGTCACAGTCGGCGGAAGATTAATTCTACCTCATGCACCTGCAATTCTTCAGTATCTCAGCAAAACCACGATAAGTGCAGAAAAGGTGAAAAAGAAAAAGAATAGAGCACAAGTCAGCAAGGAACTTGGCATTCTTTCAAAGTAAGTGCCATATTGATACTTTGTAAAAATACTATTACGACCCATGGTTTGTTTTGTTGTTGTTATTGTTGTTGTTTTTAAGTGTAACGCAGCACTCAATTGTTTGAGCATGGTGGTAAGAAGTCAAAACTGTTTCAGTATTTTAAATGCCCCATTTTTAATATGGGGTCTTATTTCCCCGTAAAAGGAACAAAACACTAAACCTACAGCACCATCATGATGTGCTCCATTAAAGGAACGAGCATTTCAAAATTCAAAAACATGTATAGATTTACTTGTCTAGCCTTTGCACATTTTGTTTAAATTTTTGAGTTTTGTAAAACCTCATAATTTTTTTAACTTAATTGATAAAAATAATTTATCAGGTTGGTTGGTTGGTTAATTGGGTTTTTTGTTTTGTTTTGTTTTTGTAAGCATCGTTCTTGCAAGGGTTTTTAAACAAATCAATTTAACAGTAGGTCCAGTAATGCAAGTTGGTGATCCTGAGTACAAGAAATGATACCCTCGCTCCCCCCCTTGCCCCCCCCCCCCAAAAAAAAATTTATTCCAAATTAGATTGCACAGATTCGCTGGTTCTCAGAAGCGGACCACCAGGCCTTTCTGCCTAGTTTGCTGTAGCCTGAAAGCTCAGCTTAAAAACCTATTCAGGGTCATCCCAGCAACACGTGAGCCTCCACAGACAGTGAGGTGCACTGGCTGGGGATT